TTTTCTGTTAATTCTTGATCAGTGGGATTGATTTCATTTACAATTTGCTGTTTTTGAATTTTTGGTGCTGGTTGGTGTTCATAAGTTTTGTTCATGATCCTCTTTTTCTAGTATCGAATCTCTTTTAGACAATGGGGATTATCTGAATCTTTTGCCTAAGGATAGGTTTCATTGTTCTGATCAGGAGGACTGACATCATTGTTTGATCAAAAAGGATTGGCTACATTGTTCTAATTAGAAGGTGTATCACATGCCGTAGGATTCTCAGAATCTATCAGCTGCACACTTTCCTTTGGAGGAATATACTTTCCATGCTGCACTATTTTATCTTTACCCAAATGATCACCCTTTTTCCAATCTTGTAAAAATTTCTTTTTCTCCATATCACCTACTATAATTACCGAAGATATTTCCTTGCCAAAAGAGACTGTTGTTTCCTTTATTGGGTTATTGACTTGCTTAGGTGTTGTTGCTTCTTCCCTCTCCACTGATGTGCTGGCTTTGAGTGCTTTACTCCAGCTAAGATTTGCCTTGATATGCTGTTTCCTTATTTGTTTTCCCATAATTGAATTTTGCATTATTTCCTTCTCCTTAATCTGCTCTGCACTTGCCTCTACAAATTCTTTCCATTGCTCTTGTCCTTAGTTTCCTTTTCACCTTCTGCTAATTCTGTGACTGGATTCTTTCCTTCTGAGACCATCAATTGCTCCATTGACTTCTTCCTCCTGCATTCAAGTTCCTCATGGCTCTGTTTCCTACAACTTTACAGAATTTCTTGTTCCTTTCATATACTATCCATTGCCATCTTGCATTCTCAAACTCCCATATCAATCCAAATTCTATTTGGATTGTTGGCAAGTATATTGACCTCACGCATACCTTGTTATCCCCAACCTGGACAACGAGAGTGTCGCTTGATCATATGCCAAAACTTTGCCAATGAGTTTTACCAGCAATCCAAAAACTGTTTTCTTGAAAAAATTAAGAAGTAATCCAGGCAATGATATCCACATCGGCACAATGGATGGCTCAATCCTTGATACAAAAGTAGGAAACCAATTAAAGAATCTGAATAAATAATCCTCTATGATAGTAGCATCTTTCAACCACGTTTTCATATAATCCTCCTGTTTTTTCAAAACGTATCAACACGTGCCTTGGATCTATTGAACCAATTTCAAATTCACCTCTCAAACCCCATTTAGACCTTATCACCTCTCTAATCACGCCTATACTTGGTCTACCATAGGCACACTTGCCTATTAATGCATATTGCAAAGGTAAGCAAGATTGTTTGATCTCCTAATTAGTGAAGTAAAAAGAAGGCTCCCCCTCATAAAATACAATAGGTTTCTCAATCTTGGGCACTAGTTCTTCCACTAACACTGGTTTGGATGTTTGCGTGAAGAGACAAGCATACGTAGGCTGTGTTAGTGGCAGATTAACAGGCTGTAAATCGGGTGGCTTTGGTGGAATATTGGATGAACTTGGTGAGTCACTCATGAGTGGTTTGCAGCAGAATTCTCAAACCTTTTTGCATCTGGAATTTGGAATTGCTGTAGAATTAGAATTTCAGAACATGACTATTGTATTTTGAATTCAATTCTGATTGCCAAGTAGGATACCTTATTGGGTCTATTTGGCTTTGACTCTGTGACTCTTTGATTCCTAAAAAACCAATGTTCTCTTTCGAATAAATTCTATTGATGTGTTTTTTAGTTTTCACTGTGCTAGTTTCTCACTGCCAGACACACAAATTTGGGTATAGAAGGGAGCTAACCACACAATCACTAAATCACACCTTAAGCGGTCGGGAATGCTCAAGCCAAAAACCTCCACCCCAAGCCGAATCAGCCCTGCGCAATGAAAGCTATCTTTGGTAGAATCTTGAATCGAAGCCCTTTTGGTAGTTTAGGTAGGGTCCGTTTGATTGAGTGTAAAATGGTAGCGGTCATTTCTACCGCTTCACAGGCTCAGGCAAACAACGGCGCCACACACACAATTTTGCATTGTGGATGACTAGAAACTAGAGAAATATATGGGTAGTGAAGCATCTTCTTTTATGATAAATAAGGTCAGCTCACTGTGCCCGTCTATTTGGTGTAGCATATCACCCCTTCAACTGCTATCTCTAGGAAACCAATCATGTGATCAACCCCGACTTGTCATGAGCCTGTGGTCCAACAGCCAGATGATACATATATTGCTCTTTGGTACAGATTCATATCTTGCTAGGACTGACTTGCCTTTGAGGAGCATTTGCTTAATACTGTGTTTTTGTTTAATAGATTATATTTGGTGGCATGAATGATTGCCCGCTGGACTAACACTCGATCTTCACCATCTCTTAATCTTCCAAGTAAGATTAGGAAATTTTAACAATGAGATGCTGACTTTGCGAAGGTCCTCGCCCAAACGTAGCTTGATGAAGGTAGCCATCAATATTTTTCTGTTTTATTATTAACCACCCCCCCCCCCCCCAAAAAAAAAAAAAAAAAACAACTGTATCCCCCCTCAACCTTGAGTTGAGTGTTTTTCAGTATGTGGGCAAAAAAAAAAAAAAATCAACCCGATTTGAATTTGCTGTTGGGGCTTTAGGTTGATGGGTTTAACTTGAACTAAAAAAATCGAGTTTAATCCCAATTCAATTCAAGAATTTAAAATAAAAATTAAAAATTAAACAGACACACATATGTAAAAGATGTTAAGGCATCTGTGTCGCACCCTTCCATCATTATTATTGATGTTTGACGTTTGAACCCTAATGCAATGTGAAGTTTTTTTCTTTTTTTTTTTTCTATTCAGTTTTGGTTAATGCAAAATTTATAGAATTTATGTTCAAGTTTGGGTTTGAACACAAAATTGAACCCTATTTTTGGTTCAATTTGGTTTTGATTACTAAAAAATTCGATTCCAATCCAAGTTTAACTTGAATTGCAATACGAATTATATAACCCGAGTTTGAAAACTTAATCACCGATTGGGCTCGGGCTTGAATTTGCTTAGGTTGAGTTGAGTCGGTTGAAGGTTTTATATATTGGGTTGCACTTGGGTTGACCGAGGTTTTACCCCAACCCAAGGGGTTTTAAAAAATTATTCACAAAAGATGGCTAGTTTGAAAGCATTTTCCAAAGCCTGAGAGTCAGTTGGTTTAACGTTTTTAAGTCCAAAGATGTCAGTTAATCTGACGTGTTTAGCCTAAAAACGTTAGACCAAATAATATTTTTGGTGGAACACTATGGCCCAAGCCCAACAACTAAAAACATAACACCAAGTGACACGTTCTAGTCACACTATGGCCCAAGCCCAACAACTAAAAATATCAAATCAACTGACGTGTTCTAGTCAAAGTAAAAAACGTCAGTTGGTCAGACATTTTTTGTAAACATGTCAGTCCAACTGTATGGACACTGATTTCGACTGACTTGTTTACCAAAAACATCAGACCAATTGACGTTTTTTACTTTGACTAGAACACATCAGTTGGTCTGACGTTTTTAGTAAACACGTCAGTCCAACTGACGTTTCCTATGCACATTGATTTCGATCGACATGTTTACTAAAAACGTCAGACAAATGAGGTGTTTATTGAAATTTTTTTGTATGAGTACAAAGTTTAATTTTTATTTATTAAAAAATTTAATTATATTCAATAAATAAATTTTGATAATTGAAAAAATACTGCAATTTTAGTGGGTCCTATTGACATTTTGTTGTCTTGCTCCCTAATAGTGATATCTAAAACTATTTTGATCCCTCTCTTTTTAAGAGGATGAGTTCTTTTTCATTTATTTAAAAATTTAATTACATTCAATAAATAAATTTTGATAATTGAAAAAATACTACAATTTTAGTGGGTCCTACTGACATTATGTTGTCTTGCTCCCTAATAGTGATACCTAAAACTTTTTTTATCCTTCTCTTTTTTAGAGGTTGAGTTCTTTTTCATTTATTTACAAATTTAATTGCATTCAATAAATAAATATTGATCATTTAAAAATACTTAAATTTAGAACATAACAAACTTTAAAAATTGAAAATGTATACATATAATTAATTTTGATTTTATCATATAATTTTAAACGCATACACAAAAAAAAAATTATGTTTATTAAGAGGTGTAAAAATTTAAGTTATTCAGAGCGTATACATGTAAAAAAAAAGGTCAATAACGTAGTTGATATTCAAAATAACATAAAGGATTATCGAATACATATAAACATGATGGGATCAAGTGTCAGGCGCATTATCGTCCAAATCAGAGAAATCAGAAAGTTTGGGGACCAGAAATAAGTAATAGATCCTCTAAAATTTTAATTTTAACATATTCAAGATCAAAATGCTCTGTTCGTGTATAATCGAGTGCATGAAAATGATCAAAACGATGCTACATTTAATCATTTTCACGTTCAAGCCTTAATATAACCTCATCATGATTGTTTGAATTCTATGAATTATAAATATCAGTCGAACGTGTCTTTAGTACCGCAATTCTATGTCAACGACAAAATATTTCATGGTCATAAATGTTTGTCATATAACTATCGTCATCTTAATGTGAGTTTGATATGAACACCTAGAGGTGAATAATCAATTGCAGGTCCAACAATTACATGTCCAACTTGATCGAATGGGTGATAAGGGTCGATGGGCTCAAAGCGGAATGCACGTTTTCGTTCATACCACGTTACACCACTAGAATCAATATATGATTCAATAGAAGGAACTTTGTTCAACAATGTTGATCTGTCCATTGAGCGTTCACGTTTGTTAGTCGAAAATGAACTATTTTGATCATTGCATGAAGAAGAACTTGCATGTAATGTGCTCCTATACATTTTGTTTGGTAGTGGTGCATTTACACAATTGTGAAATGTAGTATATATATGATCGAGTTGGCAATTTAAAATTGTAGTAAAAAGACATCACAATGCAAAGTTTGGAACTGATTTGACTGTGATGTAAAATGACAATAAAAAAGTTGGAATATGACAACACACTACATAGACTGATTAAAGTAAAAAGGACATGGCACTGTAAAGTTCAGAACTGATTTGACAATAACAATATGTGACAATGAAAAAGTTAAGATATGACAACACACTGAATTAACTGATAAAATCACAATATTTATTAAAGTAAATAGGACGTAGACATAAATGTTATATGCTTAATAAGGTGGACAATAATTATTATTTGTTAATTTTCATCAGATATATACTCATCTGATAGGTATTATTCGTTTGACAATACATTAGATCGCTTAGTTGTGGTTTAACTCCCTGCCAAATGCAATTGCAACCATGTCAAATACTATTTGGAGCATATAGTAATACTATTAAAAATCTCTGAAATATTAGTTGTTATAATGTCATATCGTCGTCCTCCATCATGGGCTAATGTTCACTTTTTCAATGGTATATTAATTAAGTATTTATACGCTTCCTCTCTGATATCGCGTATCTGGGTCATCAAATCATCAAACTTGCAAACTTGTCTTGCCTTGCCAACCTTCCACATAAGATCATACAAATATTCATCCTTAAACTGTGTATTAAAATTG